GATATTTTTGCAACTTCTCAAGATATTCAATCATCTTCTTGTTGATTACATCAATAATTTCTTCAAAAATATTTTATCAGCTTTTATTTCTGTATTTCTTTCAAGAATGTAATTAATAATTTTCTACTCAGTACTTTCTTCATAGTTTTCAATTGACAATGATTTATTATCATTAGACAAAAAATCATTGATCGAAAAATTATTATTATTTCCTAACAATTTATCAATAGAATGTTATACTTGATAATTATCATGTTGAATACTTTTCTCTAGTTTTGACAAAATAATCTTGGTATTATCATATGATAATGAAAGAATTCCTATTTTAATCCAGTAATTTTTTATAGTATTTGTTGTGACCTTATCTCAAGCAGTGATCATCATCTGAATCACATCCAATATGGAAAGTTTTGAGGACAATACTCTAGTTTTCATTTCTTTATCAAATTCTTGGATGTGATTTTTGCAAAGTAATTATCTATATTTAGCCTGAAAATATATTGACAAGTTAATAAAACTTAAGTTTAATACTAAGTATAGAGCATATATTATTTGTATTTTGAAACTATAAATGATTCTGGTATTATATGATTAAAGATGAGCTGTTATATTTTCTGGTAAAGGGTGGATAGTAATATTCGTAAGATAGAATTCTTTATCAATTTAGTGACATGGAGTATTATTAATAAGTAACAATATATATTAGTTTTGATTTTTCATAATTTGATTTAATTATTTTATAAAGGTAGACCAAATAGAATATTACATTTATGTTTTATTGTTTCAATAATAAAAGACCAGGAGGATTAACTTTTGAATATTCTTTAATACTTGTGGATTTTCATAGTGATAGATAAAAATTGATTTAATTTTTTCATCCAATATATTACAAGTAAGTAATATTATTATGCATTCTTTTAATTTTTTTGTTCTAATAACTACTTCTTTGAATAATATTCTATTTGGTTCTAAAAGCCAGAAAAGCGCCATCTCATCACAGTTAAATACATTTCTTAATTCATAATTTTTAATAACATCTTGTAGTTGACTTTTAAACTCAGAAAGATTTTTGAAAGATGCATTATTATCTTCATCTACTCTCAAGTATTCTCTGATATTATATTTTTTTTTAAATTTATCAAATCATAATTCTACAAATTATTTGGCTTTTTCTTTTATAATATATCCAGAAAGAGTATGATTATAGTGAATAGCTTGATCTATCCATATTGATAAGGATTCTTTGAGTTAAGATCATGTAGGAGGCTATTATTTTTTTAAACTTAATTTAGATATATCTAAATCAATACTTAATCATTTATCTTTTTTACGTAAAATATCACTCACAGTTCCTTCATCTATATTAAATTCATGAGCTAATTCAATACTAGTAGTTTTTGGATTTATTTATTTTTTTAGATATAACTTCTTTTTCTGTTCATCTGTTAATGCATTACATTTTAAATTTTACTTTTTTGTATTTAAATTTTCTAACATTATCTTAAAAATTAAAGGAGTAAGAAAGACTTTTCATTAGTCTCTTGAAGATAATATACCATTATAAATTTCAGTTATACTAATATTTATAGTGAATGTCTATCTGTTTGTAATGAATTTATGATAATATAATTTTTTATAGCGAATCTTAATCTGTTTATAATAAAGATCTTTATTATAAGTCAATTAGTAACACATTATATTGTTCTAACAAATCTTTGTTATAAATATTATAATCAGATTTCTTAATGAAATTCATCATAATCAGCCAGATACTCAAAAATGATTGGCTTAAGAGAAAATCTTTATTATAAACAGATCTTTATTATAATCAAGCTTCACTATAACTAGGTTTAACTGTATTAATTTTATTTTTAATTCATTTTTTATTTATTAATTTATTTTATTTTAGATATAATTCTAATAATTTTTTAATAATTTTTATAATTATATTATTATATATTTTAAAATTTAATAATATAATTAAAAATTTTTTTCAGAATAAATTTATTATATTTTTATAATAATAATAAAGAACTATTATAATTTATAATTTTTTAATTTATTATTTATTTATATTTTATATTCTAAGTTAGCTTTATTTATATTATTTTATTTTTTATTTTTTTTAATTTCTTTTTAATTAAATATAAAAAGAAATAATATAATTAAAATAATAAAAAATATATATTATATTTAAAATAATAAATTATTTTAAAATTTATATAAATTAAGTATAAAAATAATATTAAAAAGAGTTAAAATTATTAAATTTATTTTTATTTATTATTATTTCTTTTTATTTTTAATCATTATATAGTATAATTTATTTATATTATATTAATTTTATATTTTTAAAAATATATAAATAAAAATAATATAATCTTAATAATATAAGCTTTTAATAATAAAAATAATATATTTTTTAATAAAATAAACTTTTAATAATTCAAATAAAGTCTTAAATAATTAATATATTATTAAATAATTATTAAAATTTTTTATATATATAATTTTTCTTATATATAATTTATTAATCTGAATTCTAAATTAAAAAATTATTTTAGTTAATTAGCTCAGATTATAAATTAAAAATTTAATATAATATAATATATATAGTTTTAATTTTGAAATATTAAATATTTGAGTTAAAGTTGAATATTTAATTATAAAATAATATAATTTTAATATTTAATTTATTATTTTAATTTTTGAATTTAATTTATTAAAAATTATTCTAAATTATAATAAAGTATTTTTATTATAAAATAATATAATCTTATATTTAAATATATTTATTATTAATTTCTTTTGAGTTTTATTCTTTTATTTTTTATTACTTTTCTTTTATCTTATTCTCTCTATTTTTCTTTATATTCTTATTTTATTTTCTAATTTATAATATAATTTCTTAGTTTTTTTTCTATTATAATAAAAATAGATATAAATTCTAGAAATTTCTTTATGTTTTACTTATAAATTTTATATTTTATCTTTATAACTATTTTTTATAGCTTAAATAAATAATTTTTATATTTACTTATACTCAATCTTATTTAATTTAATAAGAAAATATACTTATAATAATTTTTATAATAGTTAAATAAAATAACACAGATATAAATATATAAATTCCTATCTTGAATCTTTATTTTTCTAAAATTATATAAGTTAATAATGATAATATAGCATTTATATTTTAATTTGATTTTATATCTTATAAATATTATTATATATTTTCTTGTATCAAATATAATTATTTATATTTAATTTATGAATATTATATTATTTATAAAGTTTATCTTGATTAGTTAAAATGAATAATATTAACTCTTCTTTGAGATTTCTTTATAATCTTGTAATCTTTTTTCATGATTCATCTTGAAGTTCTTCAATTTTGTCAAAGAAATTATTCTCAGATGATATTTTATCTATACTATTATCTTGAAATCTACTTACATAATTATGTTTCTGAAATTATGTGAAGTCATAAGAATAATTTATCATTAATATGAAAATCATCATCTATATAGCATAATCATATCACTTCTAATCCATGCTTTCCGTTGTTTTTATAGATTACCAGTAATTGTGAAATATTTGTCTTGTTAAAGGATCACAACTTTTTAGAAGTGCAAATGATAAGCAGGAGAAACTTGAAAGAGCCAGTTGAATTTGAGCAAAGTAGCATGGTTACTCTTACTTTTCCTAAAGAAATCATTAATTTAACTGTTTTAAATTACTTAATTTTTTAATTTATCTTTTTTTACAGCCACTGGTTTTTTTAGAAAGCATTTGATTGGTGAGCAATCAGTAGAATAGCGCTGTTTCGTTAATCTTATATAGGCAAGTTTTCTGGGGTGTGCTTGCCACTTCACCATACATTATGATTTTTGTTAACTCATTACATTTCTTAAATCGAGTAACCTATCCATTTGAAAATAATTAATTCATCAGATATAGCAAATGCTTGTGCAAATTGGGTTTTCTCGTTTATTTATGAGTCAATTCCTTCAATCGTTATCCATTCTATCTACATATTCATGGCGAGTTCTAAGATTGGGTACTTCACAGAAGGATAATGGAAAATTTTCAGTATGCATATCATTATCTTGAGGTTGATATTCATCTAACTTTCCTTAATATCAATCTTCGGGCTCGGATAACGCTTATTTGCTACTTAATGTTTATAGGATGGTTATTTTAGCGAATTCACATATTTCTTTTTTTCGCTTGTCACTAATGTGGCAACGTATGTTTTTAGGTACGGATTCAGGAGGCATAATGCAAAGAATGGAAAAGTCCAAAGATTCATAATTGTATTAATACAAATCAGATATTCGATCAGCTATTATCTGTGACAGATTAAAACGAGACGAGATCAAAGTTTCAAAGAAGGGTTAGGGTAGAACATTGAGTATAAAAATATATTAACCTATGATTATTTAAACACGTTACCCTGTTTTATTTTAATCTGCCGCATCAATAAACATCAAAGTTCGCCTATTCTGTTATTTTTAATAACGATCGCTGAAATAGGAAATTAATACAATTAGTAATACAACTTTAATCGCCCTAATAAATCACGTAATTTCTTAATTTTTCCCTAACATGGAGATCGCGACTGTATTTGGAATGGTCGGGTTTCTTTGCAAAATCGATATCCATAATAGCCTTCGCGATAATTGATATTTGACACCTATAAGCACCCATCCTCACTCTCAATGCTATTTCATGTCCTTTTTATCTAATAAGGATGTAATATTTAGGATAGACCAAGCTGAAATATGGAAACGAATATAAAATAGCAGGCTTAAGAGATCTGACGAGATAGTTGTTATTGCTATATACAATTACAAATGTAGTGACAAAAAATTTTTATTTGCAGTCCATTGGTGGGCATAAATCGTTGCTATGCATGAATTAAAGAATGTTTCTAATTTATTTCTTCTAATAAACCCCTACGATATAACTGTGATTATATAGAGGTATCTCTATAACAGTCATGCCTCTATTTTTTCGTATCCGAGTGTAAAGAGGTTCGAATACACTTCTATCGTGATAATACCTCCTATTTTTCGGTTCTGATTAATGGATTACGTATTATGATTAAATACATGTAACTGTAATTTGTCGTAATACCCTTATTCGTCATAATACCCTAATTAGCACACATCGGAAGTTATGTCGTTACTATTCAAGTCTATTATGTCTCCTCGAATTTCTCGACTTATGGCTTCGATACTACGACCCTTAGTCTGAATGAAAAAATTAGAAAATTCAATTTATCATAGAAATTCAAGTAATCATCCCTTACCTCTGGAATAAATATATATATCAATATAAAACCAATACTCGCAATTATAGCGAAAATAAGAAAAGTCCAACTTTTCAATGTTCCTATGAGCACTGGGAACGCCAAACCGACTAAAAAGTTAAAAAACCAGTTTAGACCCATTGCAGCAGATGCGGTTGCACTGACACTATATGTTGGTGCCAATTCCACGATAATTAGAGATGGAATAGGTCCAAGTCCGATAGAAAACGAAGCGACGAAAAATACAGCTATTTTATTGTATGATGAATGAGTATCAATTTCAACTATTATTGTCCGTGGCGAATTGCATAACATACTGATATCAATAGATACTTGCCGGCCAAAATTAAGAGAATATTTATTTTGTAAAGTAATCCAATGACAACGAGGATCGAACTGACAGATATTCCGATTTCGGATGTAAGCAAAAGAAATCTTCGTCCTATCTTATCAATCTGTCCAAGAGAAATAATAGTGACGATTAAAATTATAACGCCTATTCCGACAGTTGCATATTTCGCCCCTTCATGAAAGGCGTTAAAAAAGATCTCATTACTTGAGAAAAAAGAATAATAGTAATTAATTCCCTCTCTTGACCTCTAAAAATCATTTTGAAACAATTGCAAAGACAGGATTCTTTACCTGTAATAAATGATTCCATTAATTCCGCTCAACTGTTGCAAAACTGACAGACCCAGACAAATTAACGTTATCTTTCTACATGGTCGTTTTTCTTTAAACAATTCAACAAATGTTAAGGATTTGCGCATTGTGATCTTATTTTCTTGTCCTGCCCATGCTACTTCCACTTCAATTTCTTTTTGTCCTTCGAAAATCTCATTGAATTCGTTGTCTATACTGAATCCGTGTCGAAGTCGTCTTAATGCTTCTTTGGCTTCGTCGATTTTATGCTGTGAAACTAGATATCGTGGTGACTCAACGCAAAACGGAAGCAACAATATTTGTGCTAATGCAGGCACGGCGTTGAGTGCAAGTAATATTCGCCAGCCTGGATAAAATTCTAATAAAAATCCTAATACTTGAGTAGCGACTATTCCACTAACGCTGAATAAAGGATTAATTGTTCCGAAAAATCCACGCGCATTTATAGTTGCGATTTCCCCCAAGTAAGTCTAATACAATATACATGTACATTTTCAATATAACAGAAAATTTTTACCGAAAGATACGTAACACAATACTAACGGGAACAGTCACAGTGCCGATCCCACTTCCAATTCCGGCTAATAATCTTCCAATAACAAACATTGAAGGTCTCACAGAAAATCCTAAAATCAATGCACCTAATATGAAATTGACATTATTAACCATCAATGTACGGTGTCGGCCGAATTTAGTTTGCAAGTGCCCAGCAGAAAGGCCACCAATCAGACCACCAAGCGCAAAGCTTCCTACCGCGAAACCCCTACATAGCGAAGAAATATCCACATGAATATGAATTTTTGCACTGTTGAAATAACGGATTTTATGTATACCATAATAAATTATTCGCTGGTAAACAAGCTGGTAGCGAGCTATTCCCACTTTGATTTGCGCAGACTCTTATTACGTGCTCTATAATTTCGATAAAGATTAAAGAAGCTTAAATTAAACAGTACAAATAAAAAATAAACTACCAGGCACATTGGTAACACTAGTATTCCATCCATTTTGGAACGAGGTAAGAACAGAGACAAGCGCAACAAACAAACAGTATCTTGGCAAATTCGCTTTATTTGAGTCGGGTATAGTATTTTCTGAGGAGATATCCATTTTTAATTTTATTATATGACTGTTTAATGAGAAACGCAAACATGATTATTTAAACTAATCGAAGTACAATATTAAGACATAGATTATAATCCGGCGTAGCAATAGGTGTATGTCATGATAATCGTTTATATTTGAGCAGAAAATGTAGGTGACTATAAAAATTTCCTTTTTTATTAAACCGAGTTCTAGAAATTAATGGACATCACTATCGTTATGTTTGTTATTTATCAATCAATATCGATATACTATATTTGACACTATCAATCAATCCATGTGCGTTTTTTCCATAACAAACAAACAAGTTTTTGTTATTATCAATCAAATATACTATATTTGACACTATCATTCAACCCATGTGAGTTTTTTCCATAACTTAAAAAACAAGTTTTCGTCACTTTACTCGAATGAGTCTTTGCCTGTGTAGATGGATAACGATAAGGACTGTAACAAAACGCTTGATAAATTTTAGGTGAGGTAAGTGAAGATAAATGCATCTTGGTACAGGAGAGGGTTATCCTGCAAAATGTTCTAACTATAGTTGGCCGTCCAAATAATTTCGACTATTGTTTTAGGTTTCAGGGACCCTAACCTAAACTATTGATAAGTTTTTCATGGTGAATAAATTTCCTATTATCATACAATCGTAATTTTTTTTACTAGATGATTTACATATGATAAAATTGAATTTTATTCACTTACTTTGTCTCTATTGCGTTATTTTTAAAGGTAAATTATTTCAACATTCTAGTATTTTTAGATATGCTCTACCTGTATTTTTGCCGTAGCGGGAATTCCAGATCTAAAAATGTCGTTGTATTGAGCTATGATATTTGTTTAATAATAGTAAGGATTGACATTGTTTTTCGCATGTCATTTTTTAATTGAATTAAAGAAATACATGTACATGCTTTATCTAAAATGTAAAAATGCACTAACTTAGGATTTGATTAGTTAGAAGAAAAGAGAATATCATACTGTGTCAAGTATGCTATCTTATGCATCGGTATGTGTACATGTTGCTAATTTCGTTAAATAAATGAAATCTATACAGCAATAAGTATGCCATGTACAAAGAAATGTATTGAACAATAATCTAGCATGCATTATTGATGAAAAAATAACGCCATTATTGTATCGATGTGCATTTTATATCGAGCAAATTAAAACATCTTTCAATTCTCAACATACATAATTATCAAATATATAAATATTAATATTCATAATATTCGTTAATAATGCATATCATTATTATATTATCATTATTAATATAAACCAAATTTTCATTATATTCTGTTGTATATTCGTAATTCGCATAAAAAGAAATTTTAAAGTTTCGTATATTTTATCGTACATTTATAATTCGCATAAAGATATCGATATTGGTATATTCTATTTACATTCATACTTTTGTATTTTGCGTCTATCCAAAACTGGTAGGCCTCTAATACGGTAATGTGATTCCTTTATTGGTAAAGTTACATTAGGTGACCTGTACACGTAATGATAAGTTGGTAAAATTGTCATACAATCTCTACTAAATAAGGATAAAGCGGGAATTCTAATAAAAGGGAATTTTTATAGATGATGAAAAATGCAAACACGAATACATGTAACTGCATATAGTCGTGCACAAGAGATTTTTCGGTCATTGACAATGGAATTTTACATGTATTATGTCATTTTTGTAATCATTAAATAGAACATACGGCAAGTCATATAAATTAAAAAAAATCATATTCTTGTATAAATAACACAACAAACGTTAAATTCAATATTAATATTATGTATTTATTGCACTTTTACAAGAATGGACAATTTATTGTAATATGAATTTAAATGTATTGAATTGAGTAATTTCACATCAATTAATCAAATATATTTAGTTACCAATTTCATCATACGTAGTTTTAGTGCTTATACAAAATTTTGGATATTATAGGAGAAATCTTTGTCAAGAATCTCTTCGTGTTCTTACGATTATTATAATATTAATTAATATATGATTAATAAAATTCAATTTCGGAATGAAACAAAATTTTTTCAAAATCACAACAGATTTTTCCGTGTCGATATACATGTAAAGTCGTCACAGAAAGTAACGCCCGATTTGCATGTGTAACAACATAGGTAAATATATGCGTCGCGGTTTCCCATTTTTAGTTATTGTTGACCCTAATTTTTTTTATTATTTTCTTCTTTTACTTTTAAACATACACTAGATGAAATTTTTTAGGTGTAAATATGATACCTGTCGTACCAGTAGACCATCTTTGACAAGGATAAAAATAGTGATTTTTATGAAGTTATGAGTGTCAAGCAAATTGCAAGAAAAATGTGGCGTAACCCAGTTAGAGTATAATGGTCTCTTGTCAAATACAAAAGAAACAGGAAAAACAAAAATTTACCACTGTCTGAGAGACCATAAGCTCATAACTATCAAGAAACTAAAAAAGACATCCCGAGCCATTTCGTGAAATAAAAATCTGTGCAAAAACTTACCTGAAGATTCTCTAAGGTGATTTGATCCCTTTTCATAATATAATTTGCTCATTGCAGTTTGCTTGGCGCTGATTTACTCTATTTGAATTTATTTCA